CACACACACACACACACACACACACACACACACACACACACACACATACACACACACACACACACAGGGTGCGTCACCAAAATTCGTCACAAATTTCAATTTAAATTTTCCGCTATATTGTGCTTCCGTCAGAGATTGTTAGCGTTCGAGAAAGATGCTTCTAGTAAACAGTCAAATTCTCAAAATGGCTGCGATGTTGAAATCAAGTGCGGAGTATAATCGAAGGTTTTCACGCTGGTTGCTCAGTAATGGAAATAATTTGGTTCTTTGGATACTCGAGATCAACATTGACGTTGTAGCAAAATGTACAGCTTTAGAACAAGTATGCCAATGAGGTAGAATTACTCGAAAGAACGCACCGTGAGGATCCTCAATTGTTGTCACAAGGGTCAAGCGCTGCCTTACTGAAAATAGCCGATTAAAACCGAGTAAAACAAAAGTAATCTGTATCGATTGGGATTTTTGCACCGAGAATAGGATATTGAAATCGAGTGAAAAATAAATAAATCGGATTTAATGCGTTTCATACAGATTATAACTGGATCTGTATGAAATATGAATCTGTTTCAATCATAAATTCTATTCCATGAATGAAAACAAAATTGTATTTAATGCAATCTGAATCCAATTTTGTTGTGATCAACAAAAGTAATTCGATTCAATCGAAATTTCTCTGATTTTGCAGATGATATTGGAATCCGTTTTAATGAAATGATAATCCGATTTTCTTGCAACCGACATCAGCAAAAAATATCCGATTTAATCGAAATTTCTCCCAATTAACGGTTGAAAATTAAATCGGATTTAATGCAACGTAAATTTTGTCATGACTGACAAAAATAGTTCGATTCAATCAGAATTTCTCCGATTTTTTCGTAAAAATTAAATTGTCAATGTATTAGGTATACAACCTTTGCTTGCGCCGTTTTTTTCCAAAATTCGAGGCTTTTGTAAAAAACTGGTTATACATTTATGATTCAAAGTATTGTCCATCGCTGGCCACTACTTTTTCTCATCTTTCGGGTAGCGTATGAATCCCGCGTCGAAAAAACTGGTCATCTTTTGAGGCTATCCACGAATCGATCCAATTTTTTACTTCTTCATAAGACCGGAAGTGCTAGTCAGCCAGGCCGTGTGCCATTGATCGAAACAAGTGATAGTCAGAGGGAGCAACGTCTGGAGAATACGGCGGGTAGGGTAGGACTTCCCATTTCAACGTTTCCAAGTATGTCTTGACCACTTTCGCAACATGGGGTCGAGCATTGCTGCAAAATCATTTTATCGTGTCTCTCGTTGTATTGCGGCCGTTTGTCTTTCAATGCTCGACTCAAACGCATCAATTGCGTTCGATACCGATCGCTTGTGATTGTTTCAGTCGGTTTTAATAGTTCATAATACACTACGCCGAGCTGGTCCCACCAAATACAGAGCACGACCTTGGACGTCAAAATCACCGTTCTTGAAGCGTTGAAACCACTCACGACACGTTCTTTCACTAATAGCGGCCTCACCATAAGTATTTGAGAGTATTCGATGAGCCTCAGTCGCAGATTTCTTCATATTGAAGCAAAAAATTAAAACCTCCCGCAAATGACGAGAATTTGACTCGTAAACTGACATTTTCAATCGAGAATAACTTTATGA